TGATGCTCCAAAGAACCAGCTGGTCCACTCACATGTCCCTTCTTCCTTTGTCTCTGAGGCCAACCACTTTCTGGTAGTGGGTTCTTGCTGGTCCACCTATTTTTATTGCCAGCACCATCAGAACTGTTTGGAAACTAGCATCTCTGGGCACAGTTGCTGAATTCAAGAACTGGATCTAATCTTAGCTTGGTTCTTTGTCCCTTAATTTAATTAACAGCTATCAGATGCCTAGGACACCCAGTAAATGCTTATCATGGTGCTTGCTGAAGACAGATGGGAGACTTGTCTTGGTGTGTGGTTACAAGACAGACCTCCTCTGTCCCAGCAAAGACACACAGAAAGGACACCTGACCCAGGGCAGGCTGGGAAATGGGGCAGGGCAGGAGTCCCCAAAGAAGTATAATTTTGAGAAAACCCATGGCTGTGGTAGAAGTCAATTACTTGCCAGCAGGGAAGGGACTTGCATCCCTTCTGCTTGGGCTTTTTCTAGTTCATCATAGACGTTTCAAGAAGACACAAGGCTTGCGTGTAAGCAGTAAGAGGTAAAAGGCATGCAACTTCTGCAGGGCCCTCGTCTAAACTTTCACTCTCACAGCCCTGACTGCTGGCAGGCTCCGCTCCGGTCTGTGTGCCTTATGAGAGGAGCAGGTCAAAGAGATCGGTCATCGGGCCCTCCCTCAGGGCCCAGCCGCGTCTCACTCTCTCTCTTGCTGCTGCTGCGGTCAGCACGGCACCAGAGGACTGCCCTCCCTCAAAGTGTTTTTAGGGCCAAGGAGTTCATTTCCCCATCTCATGTCTGTCTGTCCAGCCCTCATCTCCCCCAGCCACCTAACGTTGTCTGCTGGGATCTGAGGCATCATAAGACTCAGTGCCCAGCCTAGTGCTGCCCCTACTCAACATCTCCTCTCCTGTCCCAGGCTCCTGGAGTCCATGATCCCGATCAAGATGGTCAACTTCCCCCAGGTGACTAGGGGGTGGCATGCCGTGGGAGGTGCCAGGGCAGAGCCAGGGTACCGCCCAGCCTGACTGAGTTGGTCTGTTGTCAGAAAATTGCAGGTGAACTCTACGGACCGCTCATGCTGGTCTTCACGCTGGTAGCCATCCTCCTCCACGGGATGAAGACTTCCGACACCATCATCGTAAGCAGACCAGAGGCTGGTCGGGTGGGGGAGGCGGGCGCTGACCTAGGTTGAAACGGCCGAGGAAGATGAAGTGGTGCAGGAGCCGTCCTCGAGGAAGAGCCTGCATGAGGCTCCGGTGAGAGGCCTCTCCAGGGCTAAGCCGAGTCTTGTCCCTGCAGCGGGAAGGCACCCTGATGGGCACAGCCATCGGCACCTGCTTCGGCTACTGGCTGGGCGTCTCGTCCTTCATCTACTTCCTCGCCTACCTGTGCAACGCCCAGGTCACCATGCTCCAGATGCTGGCCCTGCTGGTAAGGAGCCAGGTGTCCAGGTGTGGGGCCGGGCAAGGACGTTCTTCGGAGAGCAGCCAGGTGTTGGTCTGTGCGGGAGGAGCTGGCCAGTGGATCCTTTGTGATCCAGGGTCCCCATTGAAGGGCTCAAGGCTGGCCCAGCCCGAGTGGTCTTCTCCACCATCCTCCTCCCTAGGGCTATGGTCTCTTTGGGCACTGCATTGTCCTCTTCGTCACCTATAACATCCACCTCCATGCCCTCTTCTACCTCTTCTGGCTGCTGGTTGGTGGGCTGTCCACTCTGCGCATGGTAAGCTGGGCAAGGTGCTGTCCAGAATGGGCTGTTCTCCCAGAGCTGAGGGGGAGCCCCTGGAAGTATTCTGAATGGGTGGGGAAGGGCCCAGAGGGTTCTGCCCGCCCCGTCCCTGAAGCCAAGCCATGTGGGCGCTATCCTTGGTGAGTCTAGGTGGCAGTGTTGGTGTCCCGGACTGTGGGCCCCACACAGCGGCTGCTCCTTTGTGGCACCCTGGCCGCCCTGCACATGCTCTTCCTGCTCTACCTGCATTTTGCCTACCACAAGGTGGTGGAGGGTAAGTGACAAGCAGGGGCGGGGCTGGGGCTGCACCAGACCATCTGCCTGTGGGGCAGGCCCAGCCAACTCTCGCTCACCTGCCATCACCCTTCTTCCAGGGATCCTGGACACCCTGGAGGGCCCCAATGTCCCCCCCATGCAGAGGGTCCCAAGAGACATCCCAGCGGGGCTCCCGGCCACAGTGCTCAACGCCACCATCAAGGCTGTCGCGGTGACCCTACAGTCACACTGAGCCCGCCTGAGATCCCTGGCCGGCCCCCCTCCCCCAAGCTGCAGAGCGGAGGAAGATTAAAGGACAGTACTGATGACATGTGGTCTCTTTGATGGGGTCTCCTGCTGCCCTGGCTGCCAGGACGGCAGGCTCTGCAGCCCAGCCGGGCAAAAAGTGGGTCAGCCCCTCTGAGGCCCCTCACCACCCGCCCCTGCCTTCCTCTTTCTCCCAGTGTCTGGCTAAATATAGACTGGGTAATTAAAACATTGATTGAAGTCTGGGCCTGCAGCTCCCGTGCCAGTGGTCCTGCCTGCCACTCTGCTTCCTGTGCAGGCAGCAGTGCCGTCCGTCCGCAGTGGTCACGTCACCTGTTCCCTGCTCTGTGCCCTCACCGGAGCCTGGATGAAGGTGGGACAGGCCAGAGAGAGTACATAGGAAACAGGGTTGATTGTGGAACCTGCCCCTGAGGGCAGGGGACACTGGCGGACCCACGAGCAGCAGGAAGCCCCAGGCGGGAGAGCCCCACACCCTTGGAAGACACGGGAGCAGTGACTCCGGGGCAGGAGCTTCCAGACCAGACCCCACGTCATGACTCGGCCTCTGTGTGCAGAGGTCATTCTGTAGGAGTCGTGTGCCTCAAGCCACACTTGACTTTGCCCTGGTTGTACTAAAGAAGGTCAAAGAAAATGAGATCCATTTGAGTGTTTTCTCTGTGCTGTGTCTTCCTTTGGGAGTGCTGTTGCGCTTAAAAGTCAGAAACCCCAGCCCTGGCCACCCTTGCCATGGGCCTCAGTCTGCCTCGTCAAGGCAGGGCTCCGGTGCTGAATGGAGAATGGGGGCATTGGACCTCCCTTCACTATACTCATGTTTCCCTTACATTTTTTTTTTGTTTAAACATTCCGTAGTCCTCCTAGGAACCCTGGTGGTGGTGTGGTTACACGTTGGGCTGCTAACTGCAAGGTTGGCGGTTCAAAGCGGGCCGCTCTTTATTTGGGCTAGTCCCATCTCACAGGGCTGAGCTGGCATGAGGGCATCAATGGAGCGCCGAGCACGTGGGGGAAGGGTGGCACAGGGCCCACTACCTGCAGGCTGCTTTGAGGACTTTTTAAGGGGCAGCTCAGGTTGGCCATGCTTGTGCAGTCGTCTGGGCCCTCGGCTCCAGGCTGCCATCTTAACGCGTGGCTGGCGGGGACTCCGCTGGCCAGAATCCCCACGCATGCCTGCACAGCGCCTGGCATCATAGGGAGGCGGGGCGAGGACTAGAGGGGGTCGCAAAGAGAGGGGCTAGGGTCCTGCAAACAGGAGGGCATGCATGGGGTGTCACACATTCTGGAGAGTCTGGAATGTAGTGAAAGGAGAGAAGCCTAGAATGGTCTCAAACTCCTTTACAGGAGGACCCTTCATACCACCCACCCCATCCCCGCGCGCGCGTGCGCACGGTTATTTCTCAGTCCCAGACCTTAGCCCGGCGGCCCCACAGCAAGGAAAAGGTGTCTCGGTGCCCGGAAACACCCGGGGTCCGCGCACCTCTGGGGCCGCGTGGCCCACGGGCGGGGGCGGGGCCC